CCCCCCCCGCCCCTCCACCCTCCATCACCCTCTGCTCCCCTCTCATACAAAAAGACAGTCATGTACACACAGACGTAGTCACGTAGGCATAATCGAACGGGTGGAAACGCGGACATCTGATGGCTGGGCGAAATTTTGACAAGGCATAACTTGAAGATCATCGTGACGACTAAATGCCACGGCTGCACTACTTTGACTCTGCGAGAATGCGCTGATCAATTCTAAAAATAGCCCATTTCGCTGAGATATTCAAAGACCAACAAGCTTCAGGACTGCAAGCGGCTGCAATGAACAGTCACGGCACGACAACTTGAAACTACGGGCATCAGCACCAAATAATATCAAATCCGAATCCTATAACCTGAAATGCAGCTCCGTTATAAGATCGTCAGATCACATACGATCAACGGCACCAGATGCTCCAAATTGTCGATCGGACTGGTTTTATCACGATCTCTAGACCTTGAACGCATCAATGGCATCATATAATCAAACCCTATCCTAGCATTTGAAAGTTGAAACCCTTCCAAGTTCCAACTGACTTGCAGCAGTCTGCCGCCGCTTCACCTAAAGGCTAACGCGAATAACAATACATAATGTAACATAACGGAAAGAGTCAAAGACTGACAGACCCTCAGTCGAACACATATTAACGTAACGGAAAGCCTGACAATTTGTAACGGAAAGGCAGAACCTCAGAAACGGTAAGTGTCCAACCTGAAACGCCGAAACAGTGAAACCATACATTGCACTATTTGCATACAAGCTTCGAAAGTGCTTTTTTGAGAAGTATCCACAACCTCTCTCTCTCCTATGTCTCCATCCTTGATCACCAGATGGAGGCTGCATTCTCCCCACGAGGCGCACAAGTCTCTCTCTCATTTGAAGCTGAGGCCATATTCTCTCCTGAGCCTCCTCCCTCCTCCCTACTTCCACAGCCCTCCACCCTCCTCCTCTCCAGGCTCTCCTCCCTCCTTTACTTCTCCCTCCTCATTTCCTCCCTCCTCCCGTGTCCCTCCTCCTCTCCTCCCTCCTATCTCTTCCTTCCTCAAAGCTGTTCATTCACATTCTCCCCTCTAAGTTCCTTGATTAGCCGCCCTGGCGATGGTGAGAAACATCAGCGACTCAGTGAGTCATTCATAAACTCAGCAGCAATCATCAGAGAGCAATTCCTCGCAATGAAGTCGAATGACCCTGCCTACCTTCTCCATGGTACGGCCTGAAAGGCTGAAATCATCAGTCTCTCCTTCCGCATTCTTCTCCAAGTTCGTTCAACAAACTCAACAAACTCAGGGAACTCAATGAGCTCGGCAGACTCAATGAACTCAACGAGCTTGGCGAACTCAGTGAACTCAGTGAACAGAGCGAACAGCTTGCAGAAGATGCAGACCAGACTGCTCTTGTCATCGCCATCACCATCAGTCTAAAGTCTCTTCGTCTGACGTCCACGTGTCGATGGTGTCGTCGCCCCTCCCGCAGGTCCAAACCCTTTACACACATGCAGGCAGGAGCTGCAGGACTTTCAACTTTGTGCAGGTAAGAGATGAACCGCGCCTCCACCATGTACCCTACTGGATGGTAAATTTCTGAAAAACCTTTGCTTGTTTCGACTATACAATTGCACACTAATCTCAAACACAGACAGCACCGCGGAGTCTTGGACTTTGTGAATCAACATTGACTCCTTTCGCTTGCCTGACAAGTATAAGCCATTGACAGAGAAGCAACTTTCCCCCTATTCTCAACCAACTCTTAGCCCTAATATTGTCTCTCTCTCCTCTCCTCTCCTCTTGTCGGCGTCGCCGCCTCTCCTCCCCTCTCTACTTTGCCTCACGGCAACCGCACAATCATACACACCCATAATTACCTGAGTACACTGTCTGACGTATCTTTGCCAGGCTACCAACCAACCCCTCCACCTCATTCCTCCTTTCCGCCATGTCCTCTTGTGCGAATCTGTCCCATCCTGTTGTGCTATGCACGGCTGTCTGTGCTTTCACTTAGGGGTGCTTTGACAAGGTGGCCTTGCTCTCCATGTCACCGTTCTCATGTGATTCAAAAGGCTCACACTTCTGAGAGCGCCAGAGTCTCTGTTAATATGGCGTGGTGGCCGACTCGCCATGGTGTCGTAGAGAGGAGGTCTTCCCCTCTACTCTTCACTCCATCCCTCTGCCGGTCCTCGGTAATGGAATCAGCCATCCAGAATTCCCCGAGAGTCCGACTCCCACCTTAAGGTCCTTAACCCGTCCAGCTCATCATCCTCCCCTCCTTTTTGCCTTCTCTCCCAAGAGTCCTAACTCCTCCCCTCCCCTCCTCTGCCATTCCCATTCGACGCATTCATTAAGGCACCCATAATTACCTCAGGTAGAGGACGAAGCAGATACGTCCTCCATCTATGCCTCGTGTTCTCTTTTACCCCTTTCTGCTTCTCCCATCCTTGCCCTCCTCTCCCCTCGTCGGTTTACTCTCCCACACAATCGACATGCACCCGGTGACCCGCCGAGCGCACAGACGATATATAATTGCCGCAGGTACCTCTGCTTCCATCTCCATCTCCTCTCACGTACATACTCTCCCCCTCTTCTGCACTCCTACCAGCATTGTTTGCACCCTCTTCTTCTCCAGGTCTCCGCCATGATCTCTTAAATTCGCTTTTGTAAATTGTGAACTGGTCGAACAGTTGGATGACATATATATTTTGACGAGTTCTGAGAATCCTCTTCCCGACCTTCTCTGCACATGGAGAATCCTCTTCCCGACCTTCTGTGCACATCGACCGTTGACCGACACACACTACAGTGACTACGCGGCGGCGGCGTAACAAGACGACGATTTCTGTACTGCCAACATCTGTCAAGCGAACCCATAACTTTAGTCAACCGTAGTGTTGCTGACTGAACCTGACTCTACTGACCGGCAAGCTACCAACTTTCTGACCGAACCTCTGCGTCCAGCTCTGACGTGTCGGTTTGTTCCCCGACCAACCGGACAAACTACGACTGAACAACTTGTAATCAAAACCGTACCTTTATTGAGATGATGCTCTCCTCAGAGAGAGTGCAATGAGGGGTTCGATCTCATCAGGCCCAATCCGCTGCCATGATCCCTGCCGCCCGTGGCATTCAACGTACCCAAGCTGGCATCTTGCGAGTTGTGGACTAGAGTTGAAGACGCAGCTACAGCAGCAGCTGCAGCTGCATGTGCCGCAGCATTTGCCACTGCCTGCGCCGAGGCTGCTTGCTGCATTCTCCTCTTCTTGTAGGAAGCCTTAAAACATAATTGCCGCAATCGCTTTGTCCTCTCTGCCAATTCCGTACCTGGTCTTTCTTCCATGGCTTTCCGCTGGAGTTCCAGCTCGCTGACGGCTTTCAAGACCTGCACGGGCCCGTTGACATCAACAAACCAATGTAAGAGTGCAAGCTGAATGGAGCCAAGAGACAAAAAGCCGCAAAAAGAGATCTGATCAGCAGCGGACTGACGGACCAATGCACGCAAACCGAGATCCCAATTTCTAGTCAGCATCTGCGGCCAAAACGGAAAAAAAAAAAAAAGAGATAGAGCCACAGTCCTTGAATACCGCGTCAAAGAAACGTTTTTTTGCGCGATTCTTTCCCCTAACTCGAGGCGTCACTCTTGCTCGTGTTCCTTGTGCTTGTGATCGTGACACCTTCAACCTTCTCATCTGAGCCAAAAAGGGGAAACAAAAAAAAAAAAAGCAAAAGCCACAGTCAACAACAGCAATACAAAGTCCAAAAAACTTTCTTTTCCGTGATTGGTTCCCCTAACTCGAGGCGTCATTCTTGCTCTTGTTCCCCGTGACATCTTCAAGGCTTCAACCACCTCTAGACGTGCGCACACAGTTGAACTCAAGAAAGATTGAAATGCGAGAGAGTGAGAACATCATCATCATCATCAGCAGCAGCAGCAGCAGCAGCAGCAGAAGAAGAAGAAGAAGAAGAAGAAAGATTCTGAAAGAAAAAGACGAGGAAGAGGGACAGCCAACAAGTGCCATGCGGCCCAAGCCCAATTATTCCAGGTGGTGCCAGGCATGAGCGGATGATGAGCCTGATGACTTTTGGTCAGAATGCACCGGGTCCTTGCTCCTGGTACAATGCATGAACCACGCTTTGGCTCTTAGGTCCAAAGACACCAGGTCCTTGCTCCTTGGGGTCCTGTGCATGAACCGCGCTCAGCTGTTCAACGCACCTGGTCACTGGTGGACCGTGGTGGTCCCCATCCACTGCGGTATTCCTGAGGTGGAAGGACCAACTGGTATGGTTCCATCACCTTCTATGCAGTAACTCTCAGTTTCTGAATTTTCCTCATGCCGATGAACTTTCGCATGAACCCGGTCACTTTCGCGTATGCTGAGGCTGTGCCTGCCATGAACTTTCGCAAGAACCTGGTCACTTTTGCATATGCTGAGGCTGTGTGCCTCGCATGAACTTTCGCAAGAACAATCCACAAAATTTCGCAGTCGCTGTGACAAGCCATGGACTTTCGGCCACGAGCACCATGAGCTTTCGGCATCAACGATTTTCGCACACGAGCAACGCAATGCAGTGCATGTGCGGGCGAAGACCACAAAAAAAAATCCAGTTGCTATACCTCATGTCATGTGACCATTCACCCAGAAGACTCTCGTGGGACAACCCCCATAAAGGGCCCCATTCTTTTATTTGGTAAAAAAGGGGGTGTCCAAACTTCTCGTAACGAGCTGGTGCAATTAAAAGAGAGGCCTCGGAGGGGTCAAAACTTGTCAAAATGGTCTTGGGCAAGTAAAAAAAGAGGGGTCGAAACTTTTCAATTCAAGAGGGGATACCAGGTAGAACACGCCAATGGCCCTACCGCCGGATCATGAATCTGGTACAAAGACAGCACCAGATTCCTACGGCAGTTCGGTAAATGAGGGGTCAAAAATATTGGGCTGTTTACGACTTTACACCTAAAGTCTTCGGAATTGGGTAGAACAACCCAAGGGCCCTACGGGATCATGAATCTGGCACAAAGACAGCACCAGATTCCTACGGTAGTTCGGTTAAAGAGGGGTCAAAACTTCTCAACAGGGGATACCATGTAGAACACGACCACCTGAGAACCCATAGGGGTGTTTACACCTAAAGTCTTGGAATTGGGTAGAACAACCCAAAGGCCCTACGGGATCATGAATCTGGCACAAAGACAGCACCAGATTCCTACGGTAGTTCGGTTAAAGAGGGGTCAAAACTTATCAACAGGGGATACCAGGTAGAACACACCCACCTGAGAACCTACAGGGGTCTTTACACTTTAAGTCTTGAGATTGCGTCCAAACAAAAAGACAAATTTACGCCTTTCTGAGAATGGACAAAGGATAGAGGAGCAGGCTCGGAAACGATGGGAAGAACCACTGGTGCCCCCCAGCCGCCCCCACCAGAATTCAAGTCATGCAGAGGAACAGCCTTGCAGGCAGGTAGAGTAAGAGAATGGGCTAGGATGGATAGGGGAACGAACGGTCCCTCAGGCTGGTATCAGCCCCTGCTTCAACAACCTGCTCAGTCAATCCTCTGATTTCAGAGTAATCAATGCTGGCAGGAGCTTCTCAGTTTCTCCTTTCTTCGATTTTTTTTCTTAATCATCTTCGTTTGAGGGACGCTGGACCCGTTTTCCAGCAGGTGAGGATCCCCACCAGTAGATGGAGCCTCGCCCCGATGGTGCTACAGTCTTCCCCCGAAGACAACATACGGTCATTATAGCTGAATTTGGTGTATCTATAAGTCTAAATTCAGCTATAATGACCGCACGTTGTATTCGGGGGAAGACTGTAGTGGTGTCTGCTCTTACCAGCACCACTAGCACTAGAGGAAGTTTTCTTTCAAAAAAAAAAAAAAAAAAAAAAAAAAGATTGCGTAGAACAACCCAAAGGCCCTACCGGATCATGAATCTGGCTGAAAGACAGCACCACATTCCTAGTTCGGCAGAACGAGGGCAAGGGGGATGTAGTGATCAGGTAGAAAGAGGCCCAAGAGGGTGGAGCGAGAACAATGGACCTACTAGATCATGAATTGGGCCCAAATTTGTGGTCCCGTACACAGAGGCCCAGGGAGCTGCAGTGCATGAAGTCATGGCACTTAGCACCTAACACGAAAAGCTTGGGGGTGTACTACCCAACCCCAGTTCGTTGACTGTTTGCTTCCTAAAGAATGGGCCGAAGCAATCAGCGAAAGCAATCAGTCGAAACAATAGCAATCAGCGAAAGCAATCAGCGACGTCAATCAGCGAAAGCAATCGGGAAAGCAATCAGTGGGGAAAAAAAAAAGAATTGAGGGCATGACTGCAACACCAATCAAGCAATCCACTCAAGCCATCCCGACGGATTGTGAGTCCCTATCAGACTTCTGATGCCAAAAAAGA